TGACTGTCAACAATTAAAGCTGATCTCACATTATTTTCCTTAAAAAAATAAAAATAAAAATAAATAAATAAATAAATAAATAAAATAAATAAAATAATAATAATAATAACTAATAATAATAACAATAATAATAAAACAATAATAAAAAATAATAAATAATAATAGTAATTTATCTTATTTTCTACTATCACTCATACATTTCTCTAAATTTCTATCTTGGAAATGTAATACAACAGTGCATCAATACCTTTACAAATTTATTTCACAAAATCATTCATGTAATGCACCAGACTTTGTTACACTAGTAAAGTGAATTGATCAATAAATGCAAAATGATAATGTACAGTTAATGAATATATACAAGTTCCACTTGACACAATTCACATAAACTACAAGAATACAGGCTAATAATCTTGAAATCTGACTAACAAAAAATAACAAATAAACTCTGCTTGGAACAATTTATGCTAAGTACATACAATGTAGATCATTAACCTTAAAAACTTAAATAACAAACACAAACAAATAAAGAAATGAATCGAGTGCTTGCAAATGTTACCTCAAATATAACAACAAAGGAATCTCACTAATATTGCTTGCTTTCAACTAATGCTCTTCCGATAGATCAGACTGGCTTGTAATGCGCTGGAATCTCTTGATAATTGTACCATTTTCCTCCAGCAGTCTCATAACTTCTTCTTGAGCTTCGCACATTTCACGCAAACTGAAAATCAAATCTATATGAAATAAAATATCCAAAAAAAATTTCCCCCCCATTTCCCCACAAATGGTATATTCAATAATCATTAGATAACATCCAACATATTCCATAGATAACATTTTCCTCAGCAACAAGAAAGGTATAATGCATATTGACTAGGGGCTAATACCTGGATCTTAATATATCAAATATATAGCATTGATAACTTAATTTTCACTGTTCAAAGATTTCTGGATAATAATAATGAAAACCAAAGGCCTTAACCAATGTCCCATGCATATGTGAACAAAGAAAGAAGGAAAGAAAGAATGAAAGGAGACATAGAAGAAGATTAAAAATCATAACCTTAACAATAATATTAATAATAATAATAATAACATTAATAATAATAATAACATTAATAATAATAATAACAATAATAATAATAATAATAATAACAATAATAATAATAATAAACATAATTATAACTTAAAAAAAAAAGGCAAGACAAGAAAAAAGGCACAAAAACCAAAAAGCCAGAGCCTGCCTCCCAACGAAATACTCACGAGAGTTTCAACCGGGCCTTATTCAAACTTTCTTTCTTTGACTTTTGCGTCTCTTTAGACTCATTTGTGCTTCCTGTTCCACTGTTGATCTTAGCTGCCCCTGTGTCTGGATTCTGTGAAGAACAGACCTGTTAGCTTCTTACTTTTATCACATGGCACTACATACAAACATCAAATTATTTATTTACTAATTAACATACTAATGAATACATGTCTTTATATCTTTGAACACAGAAAAAGAGAGAGAAAGGGAGGGAGAGAGAGTGAGGGAGGGAGGGAATGAGGGAATGAGGGAATGAAGGAGGGAGGGAGGGAGGGAGGGAGGGAGGGAGGGAGGGAGGGAGGGAGGGAGGGAGGGAGGGAGGGAGAGTGAGAGAGAGAGTGAGAGAGAGTGAGTGAGTGAGAGAGAGAGAGAGAGAGAGAGAGAGAGAGAGAGAGAGAGAGAGAGAGAGAGAGAGAGAGAGAGAGAGAGGAGAGAGAGAGAGAGAGAGAGAGAGAGAGAGAGAGAGAGACGGACAGACAGGATGAGATAGAAAGAGAGAGAGAGAGAGACGGACAGACAGGATGAGAGAGAGAGAGAGAGAAAGAGAGAGAGAAAGAGAGAGATAGAGAGAGAGAGAGCGAGAGACAGAGAGAAAGAGAAAGAGAGAGAAAGAGAGAGCGAAAGAGAGAGAGAGAAAAATAAAACAAAACAGACCTCAGTTTGTAGTCTTGGGTCGTCCTGTAACTTCTTGTCCTTAATGGCTGCCAAGAGTCCTGAGAGGGTTTGGTGGTATTGGTCCTCAGTGTTGCTTAAGGTGTCCTGGAAAGAGGACAACAGCCCCTCGTGCTTCTCCACGTCGGCCTCTTCAATCTCCGTCTGGACTCGCTGGACTTTGGCGACTCTGGGGTGTGTGCGAAGGGGTGAAATACCATGACATGAGCTCGTGTATGTAAAATTTGTTTGGATTCGCTGATGAATGCCTAGCGTTTGAGGATTTCACAACTAGTTTAAGAAGCTCAAATTCGAATAATCTATTTATCCATTTATTTCTCTAAATAAAAAGCTCATGGAAACAAACAAGAAAAACAAGAAAACAAAAATAAATTCCACTCACTTGCACCAGTCAGCCAAGTTATCTGTAGTGTGGTGAAGTGTAGCTGTGACGGAGGCCAGGAGGGTTTCTAAGGATTTTGCCGTCTCTTTCATTTTCATCTTCTCAAGCAAGTGGAACTGCTCATCGTTAAAGGTTAGTGCTGGAGAGGGGGAAAAAAAAAGTCTATCAAGTATGCATAAAAAGGAAATGCTTCAAGCAATAGCAAATAAGGATGAGGTGAAAGTTCAGAGCTGCAAAAAAATATTTATCTGAAATAGCAGTAGCACACATACTATGAAAGAGAAAACTTTATTGATTAAACTTCATAACTGACTCACATTTGCCAGAAAAAAATCAAGATCTTTTTTTTTAGGGTCATGTTTGTAGCCTTTTTTAGAAACTGTAAATTCTTCAACAGTTTTTTTTCTCTTATCTTTTTTAATTACTTGGCATAAGTTACATTTATGCATCAAGGGATCCAATTAAATTTATAACTGTACAATAAGGTTTTCTGGCTTACCTTACCTTGTCCAACTTAATAATAATAATAATAATAATAATAATAATAATAATAATAATAATAATAATAATAATAATAATAATAAAAAGTAATTTCCTCCTCTTACATTGCACCCATTCATAAAAAAAAGAATAAATAAATAAAATAAAAAAGGTAAATTATCACAGCTACACGCTCCAAGCACTGCATTAAAACAATTCCATTAACTTCACTCTACAGACTTACTCCTTGCTGCTCTATCTCTGAGCAAGTGCTGCCAAGACTCCCTGAGCTTGGTGACGTAAGTGGAGGCCTTGTTCGGCGCCCTCTCCACGGCCATGGCATTGTTCCCTGCCTGCTGCCACTGACGACGGAGCTGGCCTCCTCGGACCACCCTCTCGTACAGCTGGTTCACGACGGGCAGCATGGCGTTGAGGGAGTCACGGACCTAGGAAAGCGAGGCTCGGGCTTTACTTAAGCTTTATTGGCAATGGCTTCAATAAATAGAAATTTATTTGTAAGCGATGTGTAAATAAACAGGAAAAACCTTAGGAATTTGGTTCTCTAAACCATTTTGTATAGAACTCTGATAATCAATAATAACGACTACCAGTAAAATCAAAGAAAAAAGACAAAAAGACAAAAAAAAAAAAAAAAAGAAGGTATATCCAACAATGCATGAACTTTTATTTCATCTTGTTTTGCACAGGGCTAAAGTAACCCACACAATGTAAGGAAGTGAAATCACCTAACTACCTAAATCTAATTCTACTTGAACATGCCTTATGATTAGATCTTGAATTTCCGTTCAGATTTTTAGATCTTTTTAGATATCTAGGTAAAAGGCAGTGAACTACTAGCTTGTTACATTAACCCATTCCCGCCGGGCATGCCATGCCATGCCTACTGTGAGATTACTTGTTAGATTGTTTTCACACATAGATGGCTACACTTGTACTAAATCACCAATGAGCCAGTTACGAGTACCGCCTGTCTCGCCCGTTCACCCTTTTCTTTGATTTACAAAATATTTTATGTTATCTTATTTTGCGGTTACTAGTGTTCAAAAACATTATAAAAATTATAATGTTTATGATAAAAATAACACCATCGATATTCATGGCACTAGTGAAAAGTACGTTTTTCCTGCCATTTCAAATCAGGCGCTAACAAAGCCATCTATGGGCAGACATTTAACAAAAAAGTATAGAAAATAGGCACAGCATTTTCCCCAGTTTTTGTTCATTTTCCCCGGCAGCAATGGGTTAAGCATTATGAAGCCATGGAAATTTCACTAAGTATAAGCCAAGGAAGTTTTCTCTATTTATATACATTTATGTACATTATAACAATTCCAATCTGCATTCTCTTTATCTCATCTCATTATCATAGCCTTTGGTATTCAAATGTAGCAGATTATATCTCCTCTTTCTCTTCTTTCCTCCCTCTCTTTCCTCCTATGCCTCCCTCACTTCTGAACCCTTGCTGTATTTCCATCAAAACTTGCAAGTTGTCCTACATAATGACAATCCTATCCTGTACACTAAAAGATAATTCAAATCCAATTACGGCAAAAAGGAAGACTCCTGTGATGTTTTGTATCACATTTCCACCAGAAATGTGTATACGTCCTTGAAATCACAGAGGAATTCTATAATACACTACATACCAAACAACATTAAAACTTACCTTAAGTGAGCCAAATTATGACAAAAAAATGTATGTAACCCAAGATACCTCTTTTGTAAACCCCTGCAATTGGTACCCATTCTTATATATTGAACACAAGAAGAAACAGAAATAACAGTCATATACAATAAAAATGTAAAGTACATGTGAAGCAGTATAATACTGACCCTAACTGTGAGGATTCTATAACCAAGTTATACTGCAAATAGCTTTTGAATGGCTATATCAAAATGAAATTGGTATAGTGTCCTATGTACTGATATTTTACATGCCTTTAACATATTAAGAGAACTCTAGGGCTGGCATATTCATGACCACTCCATACTGGATATTTAATAACCAATAAGGACTTTTACAATGAAAACCCAAGAAAAAAAATGAGCCTGAGGATTGATTTATATCAAGTATTCTTAAAAGATGGATTAATACTGATATCACACATCTCCCCTGTTATGTGATGACACTTTAGAAACGGGGGCGTGTCATAAACCACTTGGTGTAAGAATAAATAAATAAATAAATGATGGACGGTAAAAATAAATAAATGATGGATGGTAAAAGTAAATAAACAAATAAATAAATAAATAAATAAAACTACATAATAAATAGATAAATGAAATCAAATAAAACAAAAACAGAAATAGTCTTTGAAGGCCATATTCAGTAATGCCTCTACAGCAAAGCCATCATATATATAGAAGAAATATCCAAATTAATAATACAGTGATGATGAAAAATATGTGAGAAGCACCATTTCTAAAATGATTATTTTATTTCCAATAGTTCACCGTCATCTTTCTGCAGGTAAATTCATGAACAGATCATGTACTCCTGACCAAAATATTCTCATCTACAGATCCTAAACATTCTATTTCTACACATTACATAAGACATCTCCCTCCCTTTACATTTCTTCCATCTAATTAATTTTTAGATCTCAACCAAAACATCTCTCAGGACACTAACTCTTAAAAAAAATATATATATATATCTATCTAACACAGCCATCAATTATAAACATCAACTTATTTCTGTACATTAGTACACACAACACACAATGTGATATTAAAGAACCTGCATGTCTCTAGGGTGCATGTGGAGCACAAGTGAGAAAGAAATAGAAAGGAGAAAGGCATTCTTATACAGAAGTGATAAATAAAATGAAGAGAAAAGAAAAGTAATGAAAAAAATATAACAAAGGCATAGAACAAATGTTTACACCTTTATAAAACTGAATGACAGGTTTTCAAGACTTAAACTTATTGTTGCATTATCCCTGTACCAAATATGAATTAATGGTGGGAAATTTCAACAGGATCGTCTTTAAATTTGTCATTATCTTTGTCACCATGTTTAATTTTTAATCATAGTTCTTATTCTATTATCAATATTTCTTTCAGATATTAAGAAGTCAACAAATATTTTGGAAGCCAGTGAGCGAAGCAAAATTTTGGTTTTTAATCATTATCTTGTGGTAAATTAACCTTACAAAACAGCACATTATGTACACTCTGTCACACAATGGAAATCATCTTTTGTCTCTTTTGATATACATTGAAAAACATCTTTTCTCTTTTTGGATATACATTGAAAAACATCTTTTGTCCCATTAACTTTTATCAATGATAAAATTGTAATCATGACACAAAGCCTAATGTTTTCCCATTACATATAATAATTGTTCAAAAGCAAACACAGCACGAGTATAATACAAATTCACACAAGAAACTTGGGTAAGAGGGAAAAAAAAACCCACACGATTAATTAGCTAATACAAATATTGCTTGTAACCACAGAAAGCCCCTGCAATAAGGGAACTGGTGCCAAGTGCAGTGTCATCCATGCTTGCTTGCATCTTTGAGCACACTCTAATCTCTAGTTGCAATTGCACTCACCACCATCTCCTCGATGACTATGGCACCCGTCATCTCTTCGAGCCTCTGGGCTGCTGATTGGGTGGGTGATGACTCCTGGGTTGGTGTGGCCTTGGCAGTTTGGTAACAAATATGTATGTAACTCTGAATGCTGAACTTGTATTAGCCTTACTGCCTATATTCTGGGGATTGCTGGTGGGCATGGGGAGGGAGAGTCGACAGAAGGATGGAGGATATAGCTTGCATCAAGGGAGGGAGCCGGAGGGAAGTGATGCTAAAAGTGGAGACAGAAGGGACTAAGGGAGGGGAATATTCATGCATAGTGAAGTATTACAAACTGAAGAAATTTGCAATACACTTATCAATGCACTTACAGCTTTCTCGGCATCGACTTTGTTGTTGACCAGATCCTCTAGACGTTCTCTTAGGGGTTGAGAGCTGCTCTCCTGGTTTCCTCCACACATCTGAGTCAACATAAGGAATCTTCTGTGATTGGCCACCAACTGACTAAAACGATCACTGACAGCTGACGTGAGGGACTGGACGTGGCCAACGCGGTCTTGCAGAGTCGTTAACTGGGTGACAATCACTTCGCTGAAGAACATAAAACCCATTAGAACACTTTATGATTATCATGATTATGGATGTGACCTGTATTATTATCAATGAACTTTTCAATGCTAATTTCACATAGAAGTAATTACATATCAGATCCCTAACACAAAATTTCATTTGCATAATAAGGTCTATACACCTATGTTATATATGAGCACAAGAGCACTATCCTGCTTACTTACATGAACATGAGAACACTGTAATCCATCAGGTGGACACACTTAGAGAAGTAGTCGATCTTGCGCTTGATAGCATGGCCAACCGAACACATTGACTTTCCCACTGCAGCATCATGTTCTACACTTACCAAGGTTGGGAAGCTTCCAAATTTGACAGCTGTGAAACAACAGGAAGAAATCAAATTACAAAGGCAATAACCCCTGTTCAAAATGAGATCACTGGAAAAGCTATGGTCATGAGTTTTTCTCCTCTTTAATGTTACAAATACTTTCCCGATATTTTACACTTTATAACAAGTCAA